TTTTTGAAAATGTTTTTATTTTGGACATGCTTTGTCCGTTTTCATTCAAACTTGGTACATCGATTATACATGTTAGGATACATGTCCATGACGATTTATTTCACAATTGGATTGAAAATGTCGTATTTTGGACATGCTTTGTCAGTTATCACTCAAATTTAGTACATAGATCATACTAGTTAGGATATATGTCCCCGACCGTCCGTGAGTTCCTGAGTCTATCCGTCGGTGTGTCCGTGCGTCAGTCTGTCCAGAGTCATATTTCAGAATCCTGTGGACCAATTCCGTTCATTCTTTGCATGTGCCTATGTGGGACATATGCAAATGCAGTGGTTTAGCGATTCGATTCAAAATGACCAACTGGCAGCCATCTTGTTTTTTGAAAATGTTGTATTTTGGACATGCTTTGTCAGTTGTCATTCAAACTTGGTACATAGATTATACATGTTAGGATACATGTCCATGATGATCTATTTCGCAATTGGATCAAAGATCGTCGACTGGCAGGCATCTTGTTTGTTTTTTTTATGCGGTATCTTGGACGTGCTCTGTCAGTTTTCATTCAAATTTGGCACATACATGTACTTTACATGTATACAGGTTAGGATGCATGTCCATGACAATCTGTTTCAAAATCTGGTCAAGGATGGCCGATTGACAGCCATCTGACTTTTTGTCCTTACTACTATATTTATGTACCATTTTCATTCGTATTTTGCACATACATCATACATATCAGTGTGTTTCATAATCAGATCAAAGATGGCCGAATAACTGCCGTTTTTTTATTTTTGGCCATAATTCTGTATACATCACTTGGAACTCAAGTTTCAAGGACACGCTCACGACAACCCCTCCGCTTTAATACAATTTAACGGGGACTGTGTCATTTTCAATGACTTGTTTATTTATTTATTTGTCCCCGAAACGGGGACTTATAATTTGGTCTCCGTCCGTACGTCCGTCCGGAGTCATATCTCAGAATCCCTTGGATCGATTCCGTTCATTCTTTGCATGTGCCTAGTACTTTATGTGGGACATATGCACATGCAGTGGTTTAGTGATATGATTCAAACTGGCCGACTGGCAGCCATCTTGTTTTTTGAAAATGTTGTATTTTGGACATGCTTTGTCAGTTTTCATTCAAACTTGGTACATAGACTATACATGTTAGGATACATGTCCATGACGATTTATTTCACAATTGGATCAAAAATGGCCGACTAGCAGCCATCTTGTTTTTTGAAAATGTTGTATTTTGGACATGCTTTGTCAGTTTTCATTCAAATTTAGTACATCATACATGTTAGGATACATGGCCATGACGATTTATTTCGCAATTGGATCAAAGATCGTCGACTGGCAGGCATCTTTATTTTTATGCGGTATCTTGGACGTGCTCTGTCAGTTCTCTTTCAAATTTGGCGCATACATGTTTGTTTCAAAATCTGGTCAAGGATGGCCGATTGACAGCCATCTGACTTTTTGGCCTTACTACTATATTTCCACAATATGTACCATTTTCATTCGTATTTGGCACATACATCATACATATCAGTGTGTTTAATAATCAGATCAAAGATGGCCGAATAACGGCTGTTTTTATTTTAGGCCATATTACTACCGGTACTACATGGAACACTTGTTTTGATGTAAATAAACAATCTGTTGTATACACCACTTGTAACTCGCTGGCGACAACCCCTCCGCTTTAATATGACGAGCACAAAAAGAACTTTCAAAAATTTAACGGGGACTGTCATTTTCATTAACTTTTTACTTTCTATTCCTGCTGTACAGGGTACTGTCGCTGTACTGCCTTTGTGCATACTTTCATTTTACCTCGTACTTAGTGATAACATCATAATGTCAATAAAACATGAAATGAATAATGTGCTTGCATATTCCCAGAGAAAGTTTGTTGCTATAATCGGTCCAAAATTTTCAAAAGATGTGAAATTTGATGAGACATCTATATCTTATTCAATAAATCTGAAATGCTAATAGTCTGCTATACCCTGATTTAATTCCATCATTCAAACATGCTTAGCTGAAAATGTTATTTTGTCCAACAGGATGCGATAGACATGTTGAAGAACTTTCTTGGACGAGAACCCAATCAAGAATCATTCCTGATCAGCAAAGGACTGCAAGTTGAATAAATGTATAACTCTGTGTCATATAATCCTCACTTTGTATGTATCAGCAGTGTGTAGTATAATCACATGGTCCATGATTGCCCATCTCCTACATCCATCACATGTACTTGTAGATTGTCAACTCAGTTTAGATTCAGTGAAAAAGCAAATTGAGTTTAATCATATTTTAATTGTCTACTTGGCATTGATTTTTCAGGCCAACGAGGAAGGTTTACATCAAGGAAGTAAACCAGTAAACGACCTTTCCAAAGTGGATTTCTATCAAATTAAATAAGGAATTTAAGATCTAAAAAATGTGTGTTTGTTACAAAATGTAGAATTTCTCTGAACTGGTTGTTAATTTCTACAATTGCCATGGTTACCAATTTTTTGGATCATAATAGATACCGTATTACATACTGCTGTGACAAATAGGATATGTACAATGTAGTGTTTAGAATAGTTTTATGAAAATATTTAGTCCAAGTGGAATTTGTATGTATAATACTTTGTTTGTTTAATGGAAGCTAGTATGGTATGCATATTCTGGTAAATCATTTAATTCTGTTTTTTTAGTTTAACGTGTTCCCATTGTAACTTTTGTCTACCTGGTCACATTCCAACTTTGCAAATATTTGAAGCTTTACTCCCACCACAAGCTGTAAACATAAATTGGTGATGGTTTTGCTAAATATTATTAAAAGTAGATTTATTGCCCTGACCTGACTAGACCTTTCACATTACATTTTATGAGTCCTGGAGGTTCATATCCATAGAAGGGCATTCCAATTTTGTTATTGTTTACAAATCTGACTCAAAGAAGTTTGCTTATTCTACAGTTCTTCTTGTTACACATTCACAATATCAGCGTTTTATGGATTTGTAAAGTGTGAATGTACATGTAATTTTGTAAAGCACACGTGTACAATGCATCTACTAGCAACCTTCACTGCAGTTAGTTAACATTCACAAGGAAGGAGGAATAATTGACTAATTTATTCTGTTTTCTAATCGAAACATCCCAAATATAAATGCATACAATATTTGTTGCTGTGAACAACGTACAATATATAAGATAGATGTCCTGTACACATGTGGTTTGTCCTTTAAGTGTGTTCAATTAACCGATAAAGATTAGTGATAAATAACAACATTGCCGCGTTTATTTGCAACTTATTTGTCATTTATTTGTCATTTATTTGTCATTTATTTGCTGAGAAAACATCAAATCCTCAGGTGATGTTACAATGTATTCATTTAGTGAATATTAGAAACAGATGGATTATAATAATTTACAAGAGTGTCACTTATTAAAGTAGAAGATACGTGTGATTAGGTTCAGCAAAGGAAAATAATTTCCAGTTTTCTGATGCCCGGCAGCATAGTTAATATCATTGAAGTGCGTTTTTTCACAAATTTTGCTGATGTAACTTTTTAATGATTCTCTTGGTGCTCATACTGCTTTCAATGATGCTTTATGATCTTTTGTAGACCAGTTCCATGTATGGTGCAAATTGTTGCTGTAAAACCAAGGACCCCAGGTTCATGAAGTAGAATTTAAATTAAAAATAAAATTGACTGTTTGGACTTGGGGTGACAGTTAATAATCAGTAATTTATAACTGATTCCAAAAAGATCTATTTTTGTATACTTTGAGCTTTCTTTTTACTCTAATTTGTTATAATGGTGATTTGCAGAAATGTCAGGGTATTAGAAATTGAATAAAGTATTGTAACTTGCATAAAAGAATGTGTCATGTATCCAGACTGTTATTACATAACATACGGTAAGTAGTAAATAATACAACTCTATCTCGTCTACTGTAAAATACTTCATTTTTGCTTGGAATTAATTTTCGCTGAAGGAATGATTCAGTGAATATAAAAACCAGCAAATATACCTTTTTTCCTATATTTTACATTCAACTCGTCAAAAATTCCATACAAAATGCCAAAAAAGTATTTTCAGCGAAAATTAATTCCAGTATTTACAGTACTTGGTAAATTTAATTCTCAATAAAGTTGACTTTATGAGCCAATAGAAGAATCTTAATGGGTAGTGAAATTGTAATGGCTACATGGTAGCAATGCAGTCTAAAAGGCGGCTCCTCATTAACATAAAATATTATGAAATGTGATTTGAATGAACAGCGCCCTCACTGCTTACTTGGTGACCGTTATGATTTTTGACGGAGGTAGTTTCAGTAGATTTTTGGCATCATAAACCTGTTCTTCTCCCGTACAAGAGGATCGCTTTTGTTACTAACAAAGGTAAGCACGTCTGATTTGTTTTTAGATTGTTTTACCTCGTAGCAGTTTAATTTGGCATCTGACTGTGTTCAAGGCCTACAAAGAATGTGTCAAAATATGCAGGTAGACAAAACCATTAAGTGTTTACACAAGCTCCCCTAATAGTATTAAATCGTGCTCAAATATCGACTATGGTGTTTTCAAAATGGCGGCACCCAGGCTCTTGCCAGTCATTTTTAGAAAAACGTAATGTATTTTAGATATCTTGAATTTCCGTGATTGCATCGACCTCCGCTGTTCATCGGTCGATACTCTCGCTGTACTGTCTTCATACATATACCCTCATATTACTAACATTACTGTGTATAATAACTACCAGAAATACAATCTTTGAAAAATTCAATGTTCAATTGAAACCAACCAGCCAACCAATGAGTGCAATGCACATTGATGTCATTAGAAACCTATTTTTGAGTTT